CTATTCTTGGTACAGGTGCTGAGTTTTTCTTTTCAGATATTTGCTGTTCTAAAAAACACTTAAGATATAATTTTAAAAATTGTAATGTACAAATTCTTAATATATAGGTATACATGCACATCATTCATAACTAAATAAATCTATGTTGCACTTCATATTTTTATGTATTGGACTTGTTCGTAATGTGTTTCTAAATTAATTAAGCAAATAAGTATTTAGTATTAGTTGATTAATGTGCCGAATTTAACCTTAAATACCATAGATCGCTCTCATTTTTTACTACAAGTGAAAATCCTTTCTAGTTAACTAATATCTGCTAAAAATTATAAATTTAAATGGCTCTTATTTTTGCGGTAAGTAGAAACCATTAACAGTGTGAGACTTGAACCCACTAAAACTACCTCCTATGAGTGAGTTAAGAAGACCTCAGCAATCAGATTGTGAAAGACATCTGACTGAAATCATATTCCAGTAAACAGTAATGAAAGATATTAGAAACTTAGTATTTGAGTTTTCAAATGTATCTAAATTAGGAGTGAGAATATAGTGATCATTAATTATAGACAATGATAGGCATTTGCAACAGACTGGGATTTCTTACGAGTGTACTCTGTGGAGCGGGTTACAATAGCCACGATTGTACATGCGAGGAGATTCAACTATTCTCGTTGAAGTAGTGAGTAAGGGATTGGGGTGGGCTGTGGAAAAGAGTTTAACGACGATCGAGTTTGATTTAAACGGCTCTTTTAAACTTTCAGCATTTATTTGTTCATAAGTTAAAAATATCCAAATAATAAAAAGGAAGTAACACAATTTGTATCGATGACCGTAATGATGTACTTCAATCGACTATAATAAAATGGGCAACATAATTTATTTCCGCTTAGATACATATGTCCAAAAGCATACCCGAATTATTTTACTAGATTCTTGCCAATGAATCAATACACTCTCGTGAGCCGACAGTGAAGCGATCCTTTCAGCGACCAATATTTGTAATCTTTTCAAGTTTATACGCGATATAGTGATTTCTGACTTTATCATCCTTGTGATGTGATTAATGATTGCACTCTTGTATTCACTTAGTGAGATTGCCAAACTTACTAGTGCTTATGTGTCACATATCCTTTTTTTAGATTCCTAACACTCAAAATAGACAATATGATATATACAAGTAATATGATAGACTATTTACCTAGTAGGATTACTAGAACGATTATTTACTCGTATTTAATATTATTTCGACTGTTTACTAATAATGGTGGATCGTTTTATTATCATATTCTCTGTATCAAATGACTATTTGATTGTTTGTGGTTTAGTAGCGGTTTATGAAATTCTAAAGTTCGTTAATACCGCTATAATATCCGCTATACCACAAAAATTATTAAAAGCGCAGATTGGATTGGAGCTAACATCCACAGAATTGTAAAGAGAAAATGAAAGATTGTTACCTAGATATTATAGTCTGGCCACCAAATGACCAGATTACTGTTATACTACCAGTTTTGCATATAGTAAAATGTTTTCTTAGACAATCCACTGTTTGAAAATATTTGATATTAATAGCTGGTAATAAATGGTTTAAAAACCGGATCTGCGTGAGATTCCTGCGTGGTAAATGCTTTTCTCACCTGTACATCGACTTTTTCGGGTGTTTCTATATTTCGCGGTTTTAAGACCCATATCACAAAAATATTATTCCATTGTTTAGAGTAGTTAGGGTCTCTATATTTTTTTCCAGATCGCGTTTTATCAATTTTACGTTCAATTATTTACGATACTTCCTTATTTAGGAATTTAGTTCTCTATATAATTGAGTTATAATCAATAGTTATTTCCAATTGGGTATTTACAGTACCATAACTATAGATTCAAAGTTCAATCTTAATATTATAAATGCTATCGTTCATCAATTTATACAATAACATTTCTAAAACAGATCGCTGATGTACTCTTCCCATTTGATATTGAAGTTCGTATTATATACAAATGTTCTAAAATGAAGCATTATTTCTTTTATTAATAATTAGCAACTCGTCGGTTGAATTATTTGACTCTATCATTGGCTTAGAAACATTGTGTTCATCTTACAGAAAAATAGAGAATACGGAAAGTATTCTTTAGTATTTACAGTCGAAAAATATAAAAAAAACATATAATTATAATTTATATTATTTCATATTATTCTATTTGGCCCAAATCTTACATTTTGTAATAAGAATAACTCACTTATACTATGTTTACACTATGAGATTAAAAATACTAGCTATATCATATTATAGCCAATATGTGACTATATCTCTGATTCTTGATTATCATATTTGGTCTCCACCTCTAATAACTCACTTATGCTATGTTTACACCATGAGTTTAAAAATACTAGCTATATCATAATATAACCCATATGTGACCATATCTCTGATCCTTGATCTTCATATTTGATCTTAACCTCTATTGGAGATCTCCAGAACTCAATGCAGATTATTATGGACATTTCATAAGGAAATACCGTTGGGAATTACTGAAATTTGTATTTATGTACAGAATTCATATTATATAGAAACCAAATCATTCTACAGGCAAACTTATTCATTTTAATCTCAGTTGTTTCAACTAAAAGGAGATTTTTTAAAGTTGGATTAGTGCTATAATCTCTTTTGTTGCTAGAATCTATTTTTAATCTCATTCATAACACTAAATGTAAACCTTGTATTATATGAGAATAAGAATGCAATTTAAAGTTGTGGCTCTTCATTCATAACCACCGGCTCTCCATCTAATTTCTTAATAGTTGGCAATCTTTTAATACATTCAGCACGCCAAGTTAACTCATCCAAACCCTCTGACAATGGATTTCCAATAACGACTAAATCCTCTAATGCTTCCAATTCTTGAAAACGATTGAACTCTGCCCAATCCTTAATGAGATTATTACTTATATAAAGTACTCTCAACTTCTTTAATGCCGCAAGACCTTTTATTTTCTCTATCAGGTTATAACTGATCCATAATTCTTCTAAAGTTTCCGCAACACATTCCTAAAATTAAATAACGAATGTCATATTAATATAAATAATTTATAATTCATATGCAATCCAGTTTGCTTACAAGTCCGGATATCATTTTAATGTAATTGCGAGACAAGGACAAAACACGTAAATTTTTCATTCCATTCAAACCGAATATTTTCTCAATCATATTTGTTGATAAACTCAATCGTCTATATAATAGTATAAAATTAAAATATGTTATTAATTATTTAATAAAATTTTTATCAGTTTCTATAATCACTCGCAGTTCACTAAAGTTCCCAAAGTATTGTCCATTTTTTCTACTGGTGGCCATTGGAATTGTAAATCAACCGCAGATGCTTCAGTTGCATTTTGTCGTTCACGTTCTTCCCAACGTTTGACAGCTTCTTTAATTGTGGTTGCTTTTGACATGGGTTATATACAATATTAAACCTTTAAACTCTTGTTAGATTATTTCTTTCATATTTAAGTAAAATAATTCGATTAAACATATTTAGGTTACCTAGACTACGTCTAACAAGAGAGCGTTGCAAACAATTGAATTAAAAACTATGTACGTTATAATGAATTTTGAATTATGCTTTTAAATTAAGCTTATAATATATATTAAGCTTTATTAACTTAACTAGAAATCACTAACAATAACTAGTTGCAGTCACTTGTTGTTTATTTAATTAATAATAATTTTCATACACTAGCAGGAGGGAGATGACATAACTACTCTCCATTTGCCTATTTAATGTTAAAATTTGTAAATCAATTGTTATGTTAATTTCACAGAAATCTTAATTTCATCTTCGTTTTAGTGAAATTAAGTTGTTTTTTCTATACAAAATTCAGTTTTGTGGTTAGAAGGCCATATTCCTTAATTTTGTTGAAATGAAGGCTGAAATTAAATGACATTTCAAATGCAACTATGTGTAAGACAAATTTTAAGCAAAAGATAAAGTTGAGATAACGAAAAAGTGACATTTTTTTTAAATAAATGTCAATGACAGTTCATTGTAGTGAAAAATATTCTAGTGAATATTTTTAAATTTGAATACAGAGAAGAAATTGTAACTGTCAACAATTTGAAATAGAGTGAAAAAAAATAATTCACATACCTGAAATCCATTAAAGCTAATAATATTACTAAATGTCATCCTTTATAGTTATAATAATCGGCTTTCAAAATTTCCCAGATACAAATGGTGCTTGGAGCATGTGATGTTTAACATTCGATTTTTAAACAAATACATATGATTTCCTTAATTTGGGGCAGTATGAACACTTTCCAAATTAACTTAATTTCGATTCTACGAAATTAAGGAAATTTGGCTACAAATCAGTGAATTACAGAAAAAGACTATTAGTTAGTTATTATATTTTATTCAATTGAATTTAAAATTACAAATTTACAGATTTTTTATAACAGCTGTGTATAAGAAGGCTATGAGTCAAAACTCCTCCGCCTAATTTAATATTTAATTTTAATTTATTCATTTCAATATTTTCATTATTTTAATATTATTACACCCTTTCTTTTTTTTTTTTTTTCTATGTTAATTTTAACGTACAACTTTCATATTTATATAAAAATGCATTTAAAAGGTGTACATGTTAATTTATATAATATTTAAAATTCTTTCAAAATATTTCGTCCATTATTTTTTTTCTATAAATAGTTGCTTCATTAATAAAAGCGCTAAGCAAGAACCAATTTTCTCCATTTAATAATGAAATTACATCTGTTTTTTCTAAAGATACTTTTCTAAAATACTTAAACCTAATCTCCTGTAATATAGGACAGATCCCCATAAAATGTTGGACGTCTTCAATTACCCCAAGATTGCAAAGGGTGCAGTCTACATTTACTTGGTTTTCGTAAGGAATATATGCCAAGCGTAATAGTTCGCCTCGTGTTTTAAATATTCTGGTAATATCTATTTCTCTGTACTTGGAATTAAAATAATTGTTATCCTTCAAATCGTAATTTAGTGTACTGTATGTTGCTCTCGTTAGGCTCGTTCTCGCAGCGTACTCGAATTGTACTCGTTCTTTGCTTGTTTGCTTACTTATTATAACTTCTTGCCATATTTTCCAGGATCTAGTCTCTTGTATTTGTAAAGGTTCATCTAATTCTGTTGCCATATCCATCCAGTTTTTGAAAAATAAGGTTTTATTGCTTAATAATTTTTGAGTTACTATTTTTGTCAGACGACTTTCCTTTAAAACTAGTATTCGATTTATATATTTGAAATGTTGTCTAAGCGTGTTTATATGTAACGACGGTAATCCAGTTTCCAAATGTAACATATAGTTCGGTGTGTTTATTGGTAAATGAAATGCACGTTTAATGTAGTTCCTTTGTAATTTTTCCAGTTCTTCATATCTCTCCACACCCCAAACTTCTGCCCCATATGTTACTATAGTTCTAACTGCCGTCTCGAAAACTTTATGTTTCACCGCTGGACAAACTTCTTTGTTCCCTAGGAGTTTACGCCAAGTACTGTTTACTGCCAATTTACCTTCTTTTAATTTCTCTAAGATGTGTTTACCGAAACATGTATTATAAGTTATCCATATCCCTAGATATTTAAATTGGTTAACCACCTCTATGTATTCTTCCTCCAACAGCCATTTTTCTTCAGCTCTTAGTTTTCTTGCGTATTTCCTGAATATCATGATTTTCGACTTATTAATATTTATTTTTAAACTCCACATTTTACAATATTCATTCAATTTATTAATCATCAATTGTAACATCCTTGGAGTTTCCGATATTAATACGATATCATCTGCATACATTAAGATTTTTAAGCCCACTCCACCAAATTCTATACCACCGGGTAAAATTTTTGTCAAGTCGTCTAGAAACAGTGCAAACAACAAAGGACTCAAAACGCACCCCTGTTTTACTCCCATATTTGTTCTAAACCATTCTGATAATTTATTGCCATCCCAGACCGCAGCATTACCTTCCCAGTAGAGGCTTCGAATCATCTGAATTATCTTCGTTGACAAACCAATATTACTTAGTTTATAAAACAATGAGTTTCTATTTATGGTGTCAAACGCTGCTTGGAAATCCACGTAAAAAACATATAGCTTCTTTTCATTCTTTATATACGTTCTTGCTACATTTGTCAATATAAAAATATTATCTATAGTTGAGTATTTTCAGAAAAAGACTATAAATACAACAATATTACTCAAGACTTTAAACTGGATACTGATATTAATATGACTGTACTGTGTTCCCTGAACTCAATTGAAAATATACATAAAAAAAATAATATACAAAAATAAATATATAAAAATATATATATAAAAATATATATATAAAAATATATATATAAAAATATATACATAAAAATAAATACATAAAAATAAATATATAAAAATATATACATAAAAATAAATATATAAAAACAAATATATAAAAATATATTTATAAAAATAAATATATAAAAATAAATATATAAAAATAAATATATAAAAATATGATATATATTTATATTTATGAAAAATAATATATATATTCATATATATAAAAATATGCCATATATCTAATATATATAATAGTATGATATATATATATATATATATATTATATATACCTGAAAATATGACATATATCTCATATATATGAAAACATGATATGGTTACATATATCTGAAAAAATATCTATTTTATATATGTACATAATAATATGAAATATATTTTATAAATATATATATATGAAAACATAATTATAATATAAATACTTTATATATTTCTTAATAATTGTTATATTTAAACATTTTTGTAAGTAATAACATACGTTAAGTGCAATATAAATATAAAATTCCATAATTAAAATTTTACAAATATATAAAACTATGAAATATTAAGAAATTCAAGAAATTAGTAATATAAACTTTTTTAAAATGCCTATATTGAAGCATTGGTCCGTATTATCCGTAGAAACTGACTTTTGAATGAAATAAAAATTTACTTCCTGAGCAGCAAATAAAAACAACAAACATTTTTTCTTCCAAAAAAAGAAAATATTTAATATATTTATATTTAAAAATCCAGTTTGATATTTAAATAAATACAACATTCAAACAATTTATACATTTTACATATATATAATATTAGTTCAAATGATGACACATCTCGCTTCTGTTATTACTCTTTCAAAATAACCAAATAAAAAATTTTAACGTCTGTCTGTTTTGCCAATACCACGTTTTCCTGAGAACAAATGCTTTGGCATTTTCGTGCCAATAAAACGATCAGCTTCACCTTTAAGACCCAGTCGCGTAACTTTCTTTGCTATATCACGTTTAGCCATAACTTGTAATTTCTTCTTCATAGCAGTATTCTTAACACCCATATTATCACGTGACGGTGCACGTTTAAGTGGCAAACCAGTCTTTTTAACAATAGCTGATGTTTCTTTATCCGGCAACGGGCTCTTGAATAGTTTTTTGCTACCAACAGGCACAAGACCGCGTCTAATATCCACAACTGATTTAGTAAAGTTAGCATTTTCTGTACCTGACATATCGACACCAAGATTTTGCATGGTCTCTCGCAATTTAGACACTGAACGATCACGTACTTTGGCTTGTTTGTTTCTGGGCATAACTGGTTTGTTCTTCTTTGACGAAAGACGTTTGTCATCACGCAAATGGAATCTCTTACCACGTATCTGCTTAGCCATTTCACGGATCTCTTTAAGTGTTTCATCCATACTCATATCAGGTACTTCATAGACACCACCCTCAACACGTAAACCTTCTTCACGTTCAAGTTCTTCAAGTTTTGCAAATATGTCTTCATCAATATAATCAGCAACATTGTGTCCCTCCCAGAATTCTGGAATGACATCATATCGTTCTTCTTCTGGTATATCGGCATAATTTTTCTTAAGATCCAGTATGTAATCATCACCCATTTCTTCTTCAATATCTTTTTCAAGTTTGCGTTTACGTTCTGCTTTAGCGGCATTCTTTTCAAGACGTGCAAGTGCTTGTTCTGGTATGCAAGGTGCACGCACTTTTTCATCTCTTGGCGCGGGTACAGCAACGTGTAATCTATTGAGTATATTATCAACTTTCTTAGTGCGCATTTTCTGATCAACACGGAAAGATAACAGACGTTCACAAGCTTCCACTTTAACCTCCATTACACCAGTTTCGTTTACAGTGGACATGAACATAACAGGAATGCTAGTATCTTCTTGCAATTTTGTAATAACAGCTTTACGCTCTTCTGATAAATCATCCAACGAAAGTATGTCAATCTTATTGATGGCAACAATTAAAGGTTTGTTGGTAAAAAGTGGTTTAATACTTTCGAACAATTTTACTTGTTCTTCTAACGAATGTCCGCATTGTTCAGATATATCCATGAAATATAAAACGCAAGAACGTAAATGGGCCAGGGCAGTGATGGCTTGCATTTCAATAACATTGCGCTCCTCCAGCGGATGATCCAAAATACCAGGAGTATCAATAACCTTAAATTTCGTATTATAATTTTAGATAAATTCAATATTATAAAAGTAAAAATAAAAATTTACCTGCCATCTAAGGTATTTGTAATCAGTATGTCCAACATACAGTGACTTTGTAGTGAATGCATAAGGCTGTACTTCTACATCTGCTCTAGTGATTTTATTGATAAATGAAGATTTGCCAACATTTGGAAAACCGCAAATAATAATTGTGCGTGAATAGGGATCTATAGTAGGCAAACGTGATAAATGCTGACGCACTTGCTCCAAATATGTAAGATTAGATGCTTGTCGTTTCATGATAGTAGCCATGCGACCTAAAGCAGCTTTTTTCAATTGCTTACAACGATAAAGTGAATCACCATATTTCAATAAACGTACATAGTCTTTTGCGACACTAAAATTTAATAAATTTGTATTATACCAAGAATGAAAAAAAATTTTGATTAACTTACTTATCAACTAAATGTCTTGCTGTGTTTAGCTGACCCAAAGCCAACTTGTAATGATCTTTATCATACAGTACGTTCATTAAATCAGCATAGAATGGATGTACATCATCTAATTTTGGAAAGTCTTGTATAATCTGTGATAGACGATCGTGGAAGTTCTGTTGTGTATACTTCACTTTACGTGTGTAGAATGTGCGTATACGTGAGATTTTATATCCTTTATGCACAACTGTTGGTGTTTTACGTTGTGTCTTTGATAGCATAATATCTATGAAATCCTAAAATTTAAAAATATATTATTTTTTAGATACAAACATATTTCGTCATTGTATGTAAACAACAATTAAGGTTAGTTTTCAGGTGCTCCACTGGCAGTAGATTCAAAAAATTGTTTTTTTTTTAATTTAGTAGTTATTTCTATGCTTACTTTGGCTGGTGGAACCACCATAATCTTTTTAAAATTATACAAACTCATTTTGAATTATTAATTGTTTATTTTCCGCGTAAATTAAACGAAAATAAACAAAATACGCTGCTAAACAACACCACGCGGTGCAGAGCAGCTACGAAAAGAACATAAACGTCAAAACAAATTTGACATATCAACATGTGTGTTTCAGCGAAAGATGACAAAAATTTTTGTATGGAAGTGAGATATTGCTTTAGCGACATCTAGTAGACGTTAGCAAATGAAAACGAAATTATAAAATTATTTTAATACGCCATAGATTTTTAGTAATAATTACAAAACCTTTATTTAATATATGTTATTTTAATTTTTTAATACTATTTTTTTTTCTAAAATTTGCTATAAAATATATAAAAAAACACATTGTGTGTATTTTAGTTATCAAAATAATCTGCTATAATAAGAATTTGTTTATAATAACCGCACTTCTTTTTGAAATAAAGAACATTCTCTAAAACTATAATAATCTGCAAAATTATTCAAATCTGATTTTGATGTGTAAATTTCACAAACAAAAGGCAATTTCTTATCACACTCTATATTGAACCACATATTTTCGGAGTTTAAAGCAACACAACTAAAATTGACAGAATTTTTTCTATAAATAAATTAATATATATTATTTAATTAACATAAAGGTATATGTAAAAACATACGAAATTTTAGGATTTCCAGGTCCCCACGCTCTATACCAAAAACAATTAAGACTTTCATCATCAAAATTGATAAATTCATTTTGTGCTTTATTGTGTCGAAGCCCAACATAAGTCTTCAAAAGTTTGGAGGCACCATCCATTGACAATTGTTTTTGATCATAACTATATACACGTAATATATTCGATATAGCTTTTGTACGTTTTGCGGAAATGACATGTGCCAAAGCTGCATTCCCTCCTTCTAACCTGGAACAAGTTTTTACTGCAGTTTCGTAGGTTTCTGGGGTAGTAAAGAGTGTAAATAGTCCGACTCCTGGAGAACAAGTATAGTTTGTTGATTCTAATTCAAATGTTTATGGAAATAAAAATCATAAACTTATTTATATAGAATGAATTATTTTAAGACTTAAGAAATCAATTTAGAGAATCCCTTTTAATATTATTGTTATTCTTCTCTAAAACAGTAAAGGATCATTTGAAATGTTTGATAGAAACAAAGAAGAAGAACAAGATTAAAGTAGAGAAAACCTTTCACATGATTCTGAGTTGCTTTAAATAACTGATTCTACTAAACTCCTTATAAAATGGACAGAAAATCGGAATTGAGTTGGACATCAAAGCATATGAACACGGAAACCGGGAAAAGACTGACTACATTCTAAAGGAAAACGCAAATATTTATTAATTAGAGTTGAGCCAATTTGAACTCAGATGAAAAGTTTTTTAATATTTAGAGATACTGAAAGGAGTACTAACTTAAAAACTATAGAGTAAACTGTAGATACCAAAGGCAGGCTTGCAGTTTTAACAATCTTTTAAAGATAGTCTCTTACTAACATATACCCCTTCTAATAAAGGGTTAAAGTACTTTCATCCAGTTTAGTGACCCAGAAAAAATAGAAAAACCTTAGTTAAATAGTTCTGACATTATACCGTCTGATTTTTATTCATTTCAATGTCTGTAAAATGTACTTTTTAGTATAATATTGACAACAAAAGGATTGTGAAGACATTTTTTCGTCAGTTATTCAAATATAAAAACCTGGAATAGAGATTCTTGCCGAAAAGTTGTAAAAGGTATTAGCAAATACTGAATAAATATTTCGATAAATAAAATCACTTTAAAAAATAAATATTCAATTTGTATAAAAAACACCGAATACTTTTTTACCAATCCATTATATTGATTTAATCAATTAATTAACTAAATAATGTAATTTTTCGGTTCTCCCACAGATTTTAGAAAAGTGCGTTATTTTAAATTAAATTTTAACTATACCATATGTGAACATATATTCGTTTTCAAGGTATTAGTCTTTATATGTGATCTAGCACTTTACTAACTGGTGCTAGATGCTATCTCGAGTTGTTTTTAGTGTATTCAACACAACACGATTCTAAATTTAAATCTCAATATCTCAATATAAACCAAGAATATCTCAGCTATATTGGTATAAAACATAGCAGAAAATTTTGATCGTAACAGCTGACTCCACTAGAACCCAAGAAATCGATAACGTACCAACTTTTTTTTTTCAACTTGCCTATTGGTCTGCCGTATAAACTGAAATAATCAAATCTGCTATCGTTTGTCATGGTAAAGAAGGATGCATTCTCCGGGCATTGCAATACAAGACAATTAAAAAATTCCTCTGGTTGCTTCCACAAACCTTGACGTCTCTTAGCAATTCTATTATTAAAGCTCAAAGCTAAGATATAAAAATATAAATGTAATAATCAAAAAAAAAAAACTAAAAATACAATTCCACCTTCATCACTGTTTTCTACAGCAAAGCTATTAGTTCTACTTCTGCGTAAAAAGGAGGCATAATTTAAAGCCAAGCCGTGTACACTTCTCGCCAAAGCCATACATTCTTCCAATGTTTCCGTATTATTAGCCGCAATCACCAACTGTTGCGAACGCTGACAACGTCGCACAAGTCTGTATTCCAATAATTTTTCTTCGCGGCAATTTTGAAAATTTTCAACACTAAAAACACGGAGTAGGAGGAATAAGTATGTAAGTTGAAAATAAATTTTAAACTTCAAACTTTGCATGTTTATAAAAAACTAACTTTTTTAAATTAATATATAACCTTTTATAGTCGTTCTTATTAGATACAAAAATTGAAACAATTATTAATTTTTTTTTAATTTATTTTAGTTTATTTTTTATTATTTAATTTTATTACAATTTTTCCGTATGTCATTTTACATTGTCATATTTCTATGTCATATTTTGAGCACCCCAATTATATATAAAATTATTTCTTTATATATGTGCTATTGCAAATGTATTTTCCATTAACTACATACAGGGTATTACATTGTTATTATTTATTATAAACTTAATTAATGTGCTTATATTATTCAGTATTGCAAAGCTCCAGTCAAGCATTTCAAGTCATTGTAGAAAATTTATTTAAAATGCTTAAATGAAGCAATGCAAATATGTTTAACATTTATTGTTAATATAATTTTAATGTAATTAAGCTTAATTCAAATATCTCATTAAATGTATATATATGTATATATGTATTAAAAATTAATAAGGAAACTCTTATTATCTGCTTAAAACTAAAATATTTTATAAATTGTAAGTAAATTTCATTTTCTATAGAATTTTTCATTTTAAGTGACTCTCATATAATTAAATAATATTGCATACTTTTAGGTGTTCGGGTGTATTTGATCATTAAGTATAAATATTAATAACATTCATTTTAATATAAATATTAATAATATAAGTATAAATATTAATATGTAATAATATTTATTTTAAAATAAATATTACTAATAAAGGAATAAATATTAATAAATATAATTAATATTTAATATTTATTTAAAATAAATATTACTAATATAATTATAAATATTAATAATATTATTTTAATATAAGGTATAAATATTTGATAATATTTATTTCAATATATAATATTACTTAACACGAGCATAATATATCAATGTAAATATTTTATTTTATTAAATATTAGTAATATAAATATAAATATTAATAATATTTATTTTAATATAAATATTACTAATAAAAGTATAAATATTAATATGTAATAATATTTATTTTAATGTAAATATTACTAATAAAGGAATAAATATTACCAAATATAAATAATTTTTAATATTTATTTAAAAATAAATATTACTAATATAATTATATATATTAATAATATTTATTTTAATGTAAGTATAAATATTTAATAATATTTATTTTAATATAAATATTACTAACACAAGCATAAATATTATTAATATTTAATAATATTAATATTAATATTTAATAATATTAATTTTAATATTAATATTATTAATGTTTAATAATATTAAATTTAATATAAATATTAATAATGTTTAATAATATTAATTTTAATATAAATATTATTATTGTTAAATAATATTAATTTTAATATAAATATTATTAATATTTATACTTAAAGAGTTAAGCTATTGCGCTGCTTTATTTTATTTAAATATCAAAATTTATTTATTATTGCAAATATAGGGATATGGACGGATTTTACTAGGGCACGTATTTTAGACGTTGTAGTGCTGTAGCACATTATTTACTTACAACAAGTTTATTATATATTTTTCATTATATTAATAATATAATTCATTTTGAAATAACTTTCTCTGCTAACGACACACGAAAATAAGTTAATTTAAATATTCTTATAAATTATTATTAATAAAATAAATTAATTTAAATTGTTTATAGTTTTAAGTTTTAAAAGGAGTTTAGTTGCGATATATGACAAGATATACGAATAGTTTTTTTTTTTTTAACAAACATGTAATTTACTAAACTGAAACTAAAAAACTTGAAACTTTGGTTAAGTAGTTATAACCTAGAGTTTAAAATACAATAGTTTTACAGATATCACCTGAGTGTCGGTTGTATTTGTTGTTAAAATGTTGAAATTGCTTTAAATGTTATTACGTTAAAACGACCGACTGTTAAGCAATTAATTAGCATTTAATTAAATAATTAACCAACACCAAATTATTATTAGAAGTGCATGTTAACAAAGGATATTAAATGTCTTACCTAAAACTATGCTACAAATATTGAGTAACAAATATCTTCGAAGACAAGGTAGCCTTTGCAATATTAGAGGGCAATGTGACTTATTGCCCAATAATATCATTCATAATTTAGTGCAAAGCAAAAAGGGAGTAGGGTGTGCCGTGGCTTAAAGTATACAAATTGACTTAATTAATTAATTCAAATTTAATATATAAAACCTAAGGTTTTTAAAGTTATTGCATATTCAAAGGCAGCATTTAGTTTACTCGAAGCAGTGAATTCAAATAAAATACAAACTTAATTAATATTTTATCAAAACAAAAAAAAAATTCTCTTATAGAAAATAACTTAAATCGCATAGCAAATATTCTTCTTACGAAATTTCTACATATTAATACAAAAAAAAAAAATAAAATAAAAAAATTTTATAGTAAATAAAACTGTTTTGTGACTTAATTACTAATGGAAGTTGACTATAAAGTAGCGTAGCAGTTTTTAAAGATTAGGAATCCTTTTTTTAACTGTAGGCACAAAATTTTGAATTTTCCTCTTTTTTTACAAATTTTATAAATATTAGAATTTAAAACACTTTAAGTGTTCATACACAAATTTAAATAAATTTTAATAGTATAGACCGAATAAGTTAATAAGTATATGTACTGCTTTGTAGCAATGGCAATACTTATGAGCTACTTAACTGCTATGCGAGAAAGCCGTATTTGTATATGGTCCACTGTAAATGGAGCTGCCCGAATTGGATACCGTCTTAGTGCTTCTTCTGGCCATTATGCACAAGACAGCGGCAACGACGGCCAACATTAGAATGAGACCGGCAATTGCTATGGCAATGGCGAATGTACGTTGCGATACGCACAAAGCGTCATCAAGTGTCTGAAAATTTTTCATTAATTAATTAAAATAATTATTTATTTTGTTTTAATATGATTGCTTAATTACTTTTTCTTTGAAGACTGAATCTTCATCATCTTCTGTTACATCAACATTTTCATTCACATAAAGACCAGTATCCACTTTAATGATTGCTTGTTCTTCGTCTTTGTTATCGGCGTTAGTTTGTCGTTTTGGTCGTTTGCCACTGCAAGTAGGAGCCTAAAAAAAATAATTTTATTGTAAAATTTAATTTAAATGCAATTAAGTACATATATTAATTCTCATATCAGTTAAATAATTGATAAAAATAGTTGTAGCTTATTAATGAGTCAGCCAATCCAATTGCCTCATCATTGCGGTTCTTTTAAAGCGAGTTTTCGAAGCATTTACTGAAATCATTAATGAATATAACTTGCTATATAATATATCCTTACCACTTTACATTCGGGATCCTGCAAGGCACACAACCTCACATTGCATTGATAGTAGACAGACGTGGTGTACGGGAATTTATGTGCTGGGAATGTAACATTCGCTGCCATGCGATCAGTAGTGTAATTGAATTGTCCCATTATTTCATTATCCATTGGACAACTAAAAAAGAACAAAATTAATTATAATAATTTTAAAAGTCTGATATTATATATTTTGGTAATTATGCATAATAAAAGTAATATTAGTAAAGTTAATTAACCCTTGAAGTAAATAAAAATTAGTATCAAAATAAGAATACATAAGAAAGAGGTACCAAATATATTCACAAGTAAAAAAGGCACTAATCCGTGTGAGAATTCAACCTGGTAAAATTGTCTCTTAAGAAAGATTTGTGAAAGGTTTAAATCTATTAATACTACAGCCCAAAACCATAGGCCTTTCAAATAATCTAAAGGTCGTTATTCTAGAGTTTCTGTATAAGTATAAAAACACCTCTCATATGGCAAAGTTTTTATTTCCCAGGAGAAGATCAATCACAAAGAATATGCACTGAGCCGTCAAAAAATTGAAAGACATCTGGAAAAACCTGTCTATTAAAGTATTATCTCAGATAACAGTTATCAATAAAATTCTAAAGTCTCAAGTCCACTCTGCTTAGTGAAAGTAGAATGTGGTGATATTCCCTTTTCTGGGAAGAGATACTTTCACGAACCAACGTTATTACCCCAGTAGTCCCCAGTAGTTCATTTATTTTTCGTCCTCTTCATTAAATTAAGTTTTTATGATTCCATAAAAAAATTCCGGATCAATTCATCACTAAGCAATAGCTGAAATCCCGTACTAATAAGCAAAACATGTGAGTCATAGAACATGGATTACTAAAGTTGCGACTTGTAAAGGACCTGACTAATAATAGCAGCAAAATTGCGGTTTAATTAGATTAATTATAAACATACGATTTAACTCTTGCTGACCTCAATTATAGAGTTGGATCAGAAAGAAAATTATTTCACCCTAAATGTAATAGAGACCAAAGAATTGCAGATGTGTCGCATTATATGAAATACTGTGCCCTAATATTTCGTCAATACTTACCCATCTTCACCCAAAAGTCGTTGTTCACCCCAACCCAAACCATCACGTACAGTACAATCGGTTACGTGTAAGCCATACACATCTTGCTTATCAATGCTTACAACCATCGTTAATGGATCTCCTATCTTGACATCATCGGCAATTTTATGTTCTGCATTATAAATTTTCATATGACAACCTGGCATAGGAATTTCATTTAATTCCTCATTCGCTTCTGCATTAGCAGTGGATTCATCATCGAAGACATCATCTTCATCTAGTTCATCACCAGTTGCACGATATTTATCCAATGAACGTCCATAGTCGCGCCTATCGGTTACTTCACTATCAGCGCTATGGAATGCTTGGGGTTTCTGTGCATGCTTTACTTGCTTGGAACTGGGTTTGTGTTGTTTTCGTGTTGCAGCATCACGACTTTTATACGCACAACGCACGTGATAACCACGACCTAAGTCGGTGATAAGTTTAAGGTGCGGTTGCAGAACGATTGTATTGAAGAATTCAATACGTCCGTCGTCCTATAAATAAAGAAAATATGAACAAATTAAAAAAATGTTTAGAGATATAAATAATGAATAAATAATGAATAATAAAAAAATTGGAGATAATATTTTTTAAAAAATGAGTTAAAATCCGTAAAAATAGATCAACTAAATCTCGTTTTTTGGTTATGTAGTGAATATTTTAAAAGGAATATATAAATAATACTGGGTTTCGAAGCTCTTGTTGCAATTGCCTGATAGGGTATCTTACATTTGAGAGGTTTGCACCCAGATGCCCTGCATAAGTCCCCACATTCTTAGAAACATCACCAGTCACATATATGAACGCTGTCAAGAGTCAGGGCGTAGACCAAGTTTACCCCTTTAGCAACAGAATCATCATTTTCTTGACCCATTGTTTTACTAAATATCTATTATTCTATCATTTTCGAATTTAATTATTTTACTGAAAAAATTTGCAAAAAACTATCTTAGGCATCACATGCACACACCTTCGACATTGGTTTATCACAAGTTGGGGGGCTTATTATCTTATGCACTCTCTTTATATTTTGAAATAATATTTTTAGGAAGGTCACCACCCCATATGTCCTTTTTGACATTCTAATCAATGGATTTTCTTTACATATGGAAATTATACTTCGAACACACCCTTTGGAACTGTCACCACTTATCAGAGTATAATCTCATGGGCTAAATAATATAGCAAGAAAGAGCTAAAATCATAGAAGAGCAGTATTTTAGTGTTGGTAAAAATATTCTATGTATTACCAGGCATTTTCTAAAATAAGTGTAGTTCCGTGGTACATATTGTGTACTGCTTTTATAGCATTTTTTTTTGTTTTTGTTAGTGAGGAGTTAGAATGGTGTGCCCAATTGTCTAAAATATGAACTAAAACACCCCGGAGAGGCTTATTACCCCCGAAACCTTTTTTGCATAACTTCGGGGAGGGTATTTTTTATATTGACGTTACAAACCGTGGCCATTTGATCCGCGTTCAGACCTCCACTTTTCCACGCATTGTTTTGTGTCTGTCCTAGTTATTGCCTCTATAAATAGGTTGGTGGAAATATTTCCTATAAGCGTTTAAAGACTTTAGATGATAATTTTTTCCGTAAATTCAATTATAATTTAGTTCACATGCTTTAAAATCTGTTATATAAATTGATATCAATTTTCTTAAAAAAGTTTCCTTTTTCTCCTCTGAGACAATTTCTATGATTTTTAATCTCTTTCCGCCTGCATTAATATTCTTGAATAATAATTTTAATTTATGGATAAATAATTGCAACCTTCTATGGTTTTAATTTATTTTAAAATGTTGCGAAAATCAATCACTAAATTTGTTATTGTCTTATAAGGAAAATGAATGATGAAGTCAAAGTCTTTGTTAATGGAGGAACATTAAATCAGACAGATTTAAAGGAAATGTTATTAATCTACGTTAGTTTCTCACGAAAAATTTTTTTATTTTTATTTTTATTATTCATGAAGTGGGAATTTTATGCGAATTCGCATTTGGAGAAAGTTCAAAATTGAAATAAATCAATAAAAACTAGATTCACATATAGTTTAACATTTCGATTTGATTAATTATACAATATTGTTTTTTCAATTTTAATATGATAAATAGATGTCATATCATATAATATCCCAAATACGGTGAAATCATTGACCTTTTTCTACGTATATTACGAAAACATTACCAATTAACATAAAACTTACTTTATATGATTATAAGTCATTTCAGTATAAGTCGCTTCAATATAAGTC